GGACAATCCCATTCCTCCATAGTAAGAGACGTCAGGAGGGGGGACGGTGTTTTCCTGGTTCAGACCCGGTGCAGACAAGTACAATGTCCGGTCATGGTGGAGATGCTGGAATAGTCCACACACACGGACACGACCAATGACCCGTTGGTGATTTGTAACCACATCGTCTTCTTCCTTTTCTAGGCTACAAGAGGACACGTGGCGGCGTCTAATCCTATTGGCTCGGCCTGAATATCGGCTGAGTGATGTCATGAGAGAGTCATTAAGCCGTGATGGGCTCAGCATTGTTCTCACCGAGCCTCATCTACGTGCCCTAGACAGGAGGCTGCAGACAGTCCTGAGGGTGGTCAGCCGGTGTACACATGTACATGGGGAAGAGGCGGTGCTTCAAAAGAAACCCCACCGGACCATCACCACCCACCAACGCACAACAACCCTTCGCGGAGTCTGACCTCAGAGCCAGATGAGCGTTGTTATCAAACATGGTGGCCGGCTACTTCAGCTTGACAAACGCCCACTGACCTCTCCACCTGTGTGTGCTGTGGTGACATGTAAGATGTATGACTCATAGTTTGTCTGCAGTACAATCACAGATTTGCCAGCGTGCTGCGCATTATCCCGCTGCATATGCAGAGCAGACTGATGCAACTTCTAATAAAACAAATTCCCAAATGAAAGCGGCTTGTAAATCTCAATGGTTGTTGGGCGAGGGACTCTGGCTGTAGCTTAGGTCACCTTCCTGGAAGGCCGGGATTTCACCCTCAGCTCGGTGTATAGAGTGGGGGGATTGGCTGAGTGGGCGGGGGATGGCAGCCGGTGGAGGGATTGGTAGAGGGGTGTATAGAGTGGAGGGATTGGCTGAGTGGGCGGGGGATGGCAGCCGGTGGAGGGATTGGTAGAGGGGTGTATAGAGTGGAGGGATTGGCTGAGTGGGCGGGGGATGGCAGCCGGTGGAGGGATTGGTAGAGGGGTGTATAGAGTGGAGGGATTGGCTGAGTGGGCGGGGGATGGCAGCCGGTGGAGGGATTGGTAGAGGGGTGTATAGAGTGGAGGGATTGGCTGAGTGGGCGGGGGATGGCAGCCGGTGGAGGGATTGGTAGAGGGGTGTATAGAGTGGAGGGATTGGCTGAGTGGGCGGGGGATGGCAGCCGGTGGAGGGATTGGTAGAGGGGTGTATAGAGTGGAGGGATTGGCTGAGTGGGCGGGGGATGGCAGCCGGTGGAGGGATTGGTAGAGGGGTGTATAGAGTGGAGGGATTGGCTGAGTGGGCGGGGGATGGCAGCCGGTGGAGGGATTGGTAGAGGGGTGTATAGAGTGGAGGGATTGGCTGAGTGGGCGGGGGATGGCAGCCGGTGGAGGGATTGGTAGAGGGGTGTATAGAGTGGAGGGATTGGCTGAGTGGGCGGGGGATGGCAGCCGGTGGAGGGATTGGTAGAGGGGTGTATAGAGTGGAGGGATTGGCTGAGTGGGCGGGGGATGGCAGCCGGTGGAGGGATTGGTAGAGGGGTGTATAGAGTGGAGGGATTGGCTGAGTGGGTGGGGGATGGCAGCCGGTGGAGGGATTGGTAGAGGGGTGTATAGAGTGGAGGGATTGGCTGAGTGGGTGGGGGATGGCAGCCGGTGGAGGGATTGGTAGAGGGGTGTATAGAGTGGAGGGATTGGCTGAGTGGG